AAGTTCCAGAAAATTCCATCTGTAGTTCTGGTATTCTAGTTAACTGTAAGCTATTAAGAGACAGTAGCTATGTCTAGTACATGTTGCCATATTCCCAGCATTCCAACATTTAATATAGGACATTCCACTGAGCTCTCATAGCATTCCCAGGTCTGCCTTCATTATGGTATCTAATGCATTGTGTCACAATTACTGGTTTGTCACGGGCTCCTCACTTGATTGTAAACTCTTTAAGGGCAGAGACCACCAAGTCCTTTCGTGACTACTCAGTAAATACTGAACAAATAAATGAATGAATTTAATCCACTCCTCACATCTACCTAAAAACATGACATTCACTACTCTTCATTAGCTTAGCCTATGCTGCCTTTTAAAGTTCGTTTCCTGCTTCTCTTCACCTTACACAAAAGCCATATGTACTATTTGAACACATTCTTCTCTTTGGCTTGTTTCTACCATTCCCTCATCTTAAAATGCCTTTCCTGTCAATCTCTGCCCATTGAAATCCTTTTTCTTCTTCAAGGCAGTCCCATCTCAGATGCTACTTCCTCCATGAAGCCTTCTGAGATTCCCAAGCCTCCTCCCTTATCTATGCACCCCCTAGCATATTACATATTTCCTTCGAGCATTCATGCCATTCTGCCCAGTATTATAGTTAACTTGAGTTCATATCTCTCTTCTCCCCAGATTATAAATTCCTTAAGTGCAAGAACCCTGTGTCCTCTCTGTACCTAGTACAATACCTTACATATAATAGATGCTTAATAAATTGAATTTAAAGGAATTTGAGATGAAAACTTCCCTTCTTGGGTTCCAAAGGCCCTCCACTCTTTACATTGTCATTTCTTTTCCTCTACCTGTGGACTAAGGCTTTAATGGTGATACTTATGTTCCCTACAGGTGGCCTATGACATGGGGGATTACTACCATGCCATCCCATGGCTGGAGGAGGCTGTCAGTCTCTTCCGTGGATCTTACGGGGAATGGAATACGGAAGACGAGGCCAGTCTAGAGGATGCCTTGGATCACTTGGCCTTTGCCTATTTCCAGGTAGGGGAGTAAGTGAATCCTACTGCTTTCATCACAATACAAGATGTAATGCTTTATAGCTGCTTTATAATTTTCTAAGCATTTTCACGTCTCTTAATTTATTTCATCTTCCCAACAGAACCAAATGTGAGTCAAGCAGGGCAGCTGTTTTATTATTTCCATATTTCACATGTGAGTAAATGAAATCTCCAAAATATTCCTAACTTGTCACAAAGTTCACAGAGCTGGGAGGAGAGCCGAAGTCTGTCTGACTCTTAGTCCAACGCTCCTTCCAAGGCATTGATTCCTTTAAAATCACCATCTCCCATGTAGGAGGCAATCTCTCACCTGTAGCAGCAACAGCTGCATCAACAAGTATTTTGGGGGGGTTCATACTCAAGGTAGATCTTTTTTGCACTCCCAACAACTCACAACTTTTCACAGATATTATGTCATGATATTGCCAATGTCCAAGGAAGAAATTTGATTGTTATCCTCGCCCATCTGCAGTCGAGTCCACCGGTAATGTGACTAGCGTCTAGCTATGGAGCTGGCCTCACTGGTCCACAGTACCTGCTCAGTGCCTCCTCTATGTTGTTTCTCTTGGCACTGTTGATCTGCCACATGTTGTGCCTCACGGGGAAGCTCTACCTTTGGGAGCTGCCATCCTTTGGTTTAGCTAACCCCATTTCCCAACAGATTTCTACAGTCTTCAAGAATAGGCTGCCTACTGGGCCAATTTCTTAGAGTTTCCAAAGCTAATAAACCAGTTCTGCTCCTTACATTCCTTTTTCTTTCCCTCTTTTCCTGAGAAAAGGGAGGAGGATGTGGGTGGGCCAACCCCACGTGCTGCTCCCCAAACATATTTTTTCTCAGTGCAGCAAAAATGGTCCTGCTCCTCTCATGGAAGTTTCTTGTAAATGGATCTTTGTTGTAAAACTTTCCAGGGTGCTCCTCCTAACTTTCCTGCTCAATTGCTACATATTAAAACTGAAATAGAATCACTGTGATGCAGCAAAAGGCAGGAAGTAATTGAATTTTAATAGAGGAAGAAAATGGAGAATTGACATGGAGAGAGTCAGAGAAGTTAAACTAAAGCAGCTTACCCTGAAAGATGGGGTTTTAAATCCAGTGCCTGATTATTAGTTTTGGGTTCATTTCCCCTATGAGGGCTTAGATTTCTCCTCTACCCACTGGTAGACTTTCCCTTTCCACAATCACGCTTTGTCTGATAAATTTTCTTCATCTTACAAGGCGTAGCTCAAATGTCACCTATTTTGTGAAGTCTTCCTCGGTTCTCCTAGGACTCCACAGACTCTCCGTCTTTGTGCTCTTACAGCACATTTTTTTATGCCACAGTAACAGAACAAATGAGTCATTGTCTTATAGATGATTTGTGTTCCCATTTTTACCCCCAGTAAATTAGAGATAAATGTCCCTCTGTGGACCTTTCATTATCATATAAAATTATATATGGTATATATACCATGAAAAAATTATAATATCATATATAATACTTTTTCATGATATATTTTAATAAAAATATATTTCAGTAACTTTTAATAATGAAAAACTATAGAATATAGTAGTTAAATCATAGACTCTGAAGTCAGACAGACCTGGGTTCAAAATCTGTGACAACTTGGGCAACTTAACCTCCCTGGACCTCAATTTTTTAATCTTTAAAAGAGGAATAACAATGATGATGCTATAGGGGAGGAAAAGAATTGTCTCTCTAACCTTCTGAGTTCTTGGCTGAGACCTCCCTCTGATAAAAGACAGATTAACAAGAGGAAAAATAAACAGAAGTTTACTAACATGTGTACTTAATGTATACATGGGACACAGCAGGGGAAAAATGAGTAAGTCTCTGAGGTGACTAGCTAACACCTTAAATATCATCTTCAGCTTGCAGTATAGACAATATAGTCAAGAATATTGTAATAACTATGTGTGGTGTCAGATGGGTACTAGACTTATCCGGGTGATCACTTTGTAAGTTATTTAAATGTCTAATCACTATATTGTACACCTGAAACTAATATAATATTGTATGTCAACTATAATTGAAAAATTTTAAAAAATATCATATTCAGCTAAGACAAAAAAAGAAAGGTGTGGGGGGAGGCCACTTATGGGAGGCTACCCAGAAAAGGATGGTAAACAAATATAAAGTTGTTATGCAGATTTTAATGGGTGCCTTCTCCATTGGTAAGATTCTCCTGTGATTTACAGTCATCCTTCTCTTCCTGTTTCAAAGAGGGAAGACACTTACAAATGTAAATGTCCCTTACAAAGGGGGAACTTCTACTCAGTGTTTCAAAACTTCTTTTGTGTCTTCTGTCTCTCAAAATAATTAGCTTAAAATAATCCTTATGCCAAAGAGACATTTCGGGATAGCATATTCTGCCTCCCTTCAATGCTCACTTCAAAAGGTTGTTGTGAGGATTAAATGAGCTAATTCAAGTAAAGCCCTTACCACAGTTCATGACACATACACATTCAATAAATGGAAGCAATTATTATTAGACACTGTATGTTCTCTTGTTTTCATTTAACATTATTTAGTGTACACATTTCCAAAGAAATTTAACTGGGAATTCAAAAGTAACTCTAACTTTGTTCTTGATAAAATATAACTTTATCTCATGATAAAACCCTACATTTTAAAAAATATGTAAAATTACATTGTAGTTATCTTCATCTCAAAAGAGTTTGAAAAGCTATAACCCTGAGTTAATATCTGACATGATAAAATATCAATAGATTACTTAACTATCCCTCTGTTAATTACAGAACAGGATTAATGATATTAAATAATTAGAAACAATCTATATGTCCAACAACAGCAGAATGGTTAGGCCATCTGTGATGTAGCTTCTAGATGGAGTAAAATGCACCCATTAAAAATGCTGTCTCTCATACCAAAATTAACTCAAAATGGATCAAAGACCTAAACATAAGACCTGAAACAATAAGCTGCATAGAAGAAAACATAGGTGACTAAACTTATAGATCTTGGGTTAAAAGAGGATTTTATGAATTTGACCTCAAAGGCAAGGGAAGTAAAAGCTAAAATAAATGAATGGGACTATATCAAACTAAAAAGCTTCTGCACAAAAAAAGAAACCATTAACAAAATAAAGAGGCAACCAACCAAATGGGAGAAGATTTTTACAAACAACACCTCCAATAAGGGACGAATATCCAAAATATATAAGGAACCCATACAATTCAACAACATAAAAACAAGCAATGCAATTAAAAAATGGGCAGAAGACCTGAATAGATATTTTTCCAAAGATGACGTACAGATGGCCAACAGATATGTGAAAAGATGCTCGACATCACTAATCATCAGAGAAATGCAAATAAAACCACAATGAGATATCACCTCACACCAGTTAGAATGGCTATCATCAACAAGACAAGTAATAACAAGTGTTGGAGAGGCTGTTGGAGAAAAAGGAACCCTCATGCGCTGTTGGTGGAAATGCAGATTGGTGCAGCCGCTATGGAAAGTAGAGTGGAGGTTCCTCAAAAAATTAAGAATAGAATTATCATATGACCCTGCAATCCCTCTCCTGGGTATATACCCAAAAAATTTGAAAACATTTATTCATAAAGATATATGTGCTCTGATGTTCATTGCAGCTTTATTTACAGTGGCCAAGACATGGAAACAAGCAAAATGTCCTTTGATAGATGAGTGGGTAAAGAAGATGTGGTATATGTACATAATGGAATACTATTCTGCCATAAGAAAAGATGAAATACTGCCATTTGCAACAACATGGATGGATTTTGAGATTACTATGCTAAGCGAAATAAGTCAGAAACAGTCAAGAACCATATGACTTCACTGATATGAGGAATATAAAACTGAAAGCAACAAAGGAAGAAGACAAACAAATAAACAAAAAGTCATAGACACAGACAATAGTTCAGTGATTACCAGAGGGTAAGGGGGGAGGGGGGTGGTAGAAGAGGGTAAGGGGGATCAAATATATGGTGATGGAAGGAGAACTGACTCTGGGTGGTAAACACACAATGTGATATATAGATGATGTATTACGGAATTG